ATGTACAGTTGCCTTGAACCGGGCCAAAGCACGCTTGTCCCCCCCTTCTGTGTCCCCCGACAGCCCGCACTCACATTACATTCAGGCTGGTACACGCTTACGTCATCGATAATGCGATGTCCAGTAAGCGCTTTCGCTCAACACAGTGGAGATTTCTCTAGTCATATTGTTTGAGTCGTTTTGGGATGTGGTGACACACAGTCAAATATCTCGCTGAACAGATCAGCCCCTTTTGACGCTCATAAACAACCATAAAGTCCTCGTGCTGCATGAATTAGGAGGTTTGCTGAAGGTGCAGCTGTCGTGCAGTGAGGGGTTTGAGTCTTTATTAAACTATGACAGTTTGCGTTCATTGAATGACTAATAAATCCATAGGAAACAGTAACTTAAAAGTCTCATCTCGCTTTCAGTTTCGGGCACAGGCGCGTTTTGCACTCAAACTACGTGCCAAAGCCAAAGTGAACCGTGAAATAGGCCGTTTACATATCTTGTCTTTTGAGTGCACAAGTTATTTCCAACCGAGACGTGTGACTTGCGCACATATTGGGAGTGACACACTTGCGTATTCCAGGTGCACCAAGTTAACTTTTCACTGACCAATTTAACTTAAATTAAGCTGACCGATCAGCTTCATACTTGGGATATGAACATTTCGGTTGACTAATTACCTCAGACAATTGCTATAAAGACAGTGCTTTAGTGTTCTGTGCTCTGTTTAGTGTTCTACATTATGATCGGATCAAGAAACATACTGCGGGAAAAGTATCAGTCGGGAATGAAGCGCGCAAAAAATCGTGCTGTATGTTGATTTAGAAATCGTACATGTTCAAATCGCGTTTTCGATATGATTTCAATTAATTGCACAGCCCTAGTGTTGCTGTTTCAGGGAGTCAGAGAGATTGTTGAATTGAACATGAAAATTTAAGCTGAAATTGTTTGCACGAGTGTTACATTTTTAATTTATTTTTGTCCTAAATTTCAGGTCCATATGTGGTTCATGGTACTACATATTTGAAAGTCATTTAAAAGTTTCGAGGATTGTGTAATTGTCTCACATACATGCTTTTAACTAATACTCTTACAAAAAAGGAGAACTGGTTTGGTCATCTTACATATTAATCAGTGTTAGTGGTTATATGCCAGAATCAGCTGCAGTGTAGACCAGACATCATGCCAACTGTCAGAAATTTTGGCTCAACAATGCTACAGAGCCACTCCGGCCAAACTCAGATGACCTGCTGTGATTTGTAATTAGTTACATCCACATGCTAATTAGCAATGTGCGAAAGCCATTCAAGTCACAAGGGATGGATATAAACGTGATGGAGTCTTCGTTTGAGCTCTTTTGGCAGCAAAGGTTGGCCTTCAACATATGATGCCGAAATACTCACAGTGTGAAACCGGGCATGTATTTCACTTAATCTTAAAGGGACAGTTCAGTAATAATAATTATATAATATCAAATATAATTTTCCATATTTTTAGTGTTTTCCATATATTTATAGTTGTGAATTTTTATTTTGAAACCTTGATGTCTGTCGACTTTTATTTTTCAAGAGATAAAGTGATCCTAATGGGAGCAGACAAAAAAAATCCATAACTTCGGAGCAATAAATGAAGATGATCCCCATCCCCTCCTTTTTATTTTGAAGACTTTTTCGTTAAATGTGGCTGTTTTGGCACAGCAAGTCTAAATTGTTTGTTGAGAAGTGCACAAAATAGAATTTACTGTATAATCTCAAATGTCATTATAACTATGTATACTTTATATACTTTATATACTTTATGTAGGGGTGTTATTGATTGAAGACTCGCGTCTGGTTATGTGCTTTTAATTTAATTTAATCTATTGTATTGAAAATTAAATCGACGTCCACATCGCATCCACATTGTATCAAAATATAGCAAAAAAATTATTCCCATACTTCATTTAATCAGATTTTCAATTAAATTTATTTTTAATATTTTATCATTTTTTGTGCCTCATATCCAGTTTATATATATATATATATATATATATATTTTAAACACTGATATGTTGATAAATAAGCATTTTGTATACAAATATGTATTTTTAAGGTACCAAAATGGAATTTGTAGATGCTATTATTGACCATTGGTTCCAATATGGACCTTTAAGGAGCTAATATGGACACCTTTTGGGTACAAATGTGTACCTTTTTAAAAGGTAACTCCACAAAAGTTTTACTCATCATTTCCTCACCCTTTACTCTCCATCAAGTGATTCTAAACCTTTATTATTCTGCTGAACACAAAAGAAGATACTTTGAAGAGAGCTGAATCCATTGACTTCTATAGTAGGAAAAACGAATACTATATAAGTCAGTGGTTACAGGTTTCCAACATATATTCTTTTGTTTAACAGAGGAAAGGAACTCATGTTTGAAACAAGTAAATGGTGACAGATTTTTTTTTTTTTGGGGTGAACTGCCCTTTTAAATGTAATCAATCAGAAGAAAGCTCTTAATACTGGCTTCCAAAACAATGGCACACGTCATTGGACTTTGATATAGTTGGACCGGCACACATTGGGCAATATGTAACGGCACATTTCAGCACGTCTATTTTTCAGCTTACAGGAAGGAGATGAAGTCAGTTTGAGCAGCCCTCCCATTTCCTCAACACCAGCTGCACTGCTGATTGTAAAGCTGCTGCTTTCACCAGCAACACTTCTGTAGTCAAATCTATCGGGCTTTTTCCATCCACATTTATGATTGACCGAGCCTATCTTTAGCCGCCTTTATCTGTCTTTTTGCTGCAATAGATTCTCCATCCATGAGAATTTGTATGAACCCTATATTAATGTATATTGGTGTGGAAAAAGTGTTGCCCCCTTACTGATTTATTTATTTTTTACGCGTGTCACACTTTAATGTTTTGGATCATCAAATTAATGTAGATATTAGTCAAAGATAACACAAGATATAGAAAAACACAAGTAAAAACAGTTTTAAGATGTGTTTTTTTATTGTTAAGAGAAAATAAAATACTAAACTACATTGCTACAGTGTATGTGTGAAAACGTGTTTGCCGCCTAAATCTAATAACTGGTAACTGTAGGCCACCCTTAGCAGCAACAAAGGCAATCAAGCTTTTTCTAGAACTTACACTTTGGAGAAGTTTTAAGGTCGTCACAGCATCTCAATTGGATTCAGGTCAGGACTTTGACTAGGCCACTTAATTTATTTACATGCAAATGCATCTAGATGATGTATATTGACTGTTTTATTTGTACAGATAACAAAATTTTAAAAGTATTTACCTAAAAGTTGAATAGAAAAAGTAAGAATAATTATTAAATCCACAGGTGAAATCAGAATTATTAACCCCCTGAATTATTAGCCCCTCTGTTTATTTTTTTTCTCCAATTTCTGTTTAACGGAGGGTTTTTCAACACATTTCTAAACATGATAGTTTTAATAAATCATCTCTAATAACTAATTTATTTTATCTTTGCCATGATGACAGTAAATAATATTGTATTAGATATTTTTCAAGACACTTTTATACAGCTTAAAGTGACATTTAAAGGCTTAACTAGGTTAATTAGGGTAACTAGGCAGGTTAGGGTAATTAGGCAAGTTGTTGTATAACGATGGTTTACTCTGTAGAATATTGCAAAAAAAAAAAAAAGCCTAAAGGGGCTAATAATTTTGACCTTAAAATATCTTTTAAAAAAATTAAAAACTGCTTTTATTCTAGCCAAAATAAAACAAATAAGACTTTCTCCAGAAGAAAAAAGATATCAGACACACCGTGAAAATTTAAAAAATTTCAAAAATCAAAAGGAGGCTAAAAACTCTGACTTCACCTGTATATATATATATGTATGCTTTTACAATGTATATGTGATTTCGACCAAGCGAAGGAACACTTGGTGTATTTTAAACTCGCACTTAGCAGCACTGAGGTTTCAGCTTCCCATAAAGACTCGACTTTACTGATTCCTCAATTAGCCTTCATGAGCAGCTAGTCCGCCAGTAACACACCATACAGCACCAATTAAAATGTTTATTAGCCGCTGGCTGATCTGCAGACTCTCTCTCTCATCCTGCACGGCTGTCAGAGGAACAGACGAGAGCTTTAGATGAGCAGATGCGGCAGGAGATGAAAGGCCAGCAGTGTCTGCAGCTCACACACACACACACACACACACACACACACACACACACACACACACACACACACACACACACACACACAAACACACACACACACACACACAGGATCCCATTCAGTCAGAGCAGCTCCAGCTCCTATATTCACCATCAGGAAGAAACAGACATGTGGGCTGACTAGTAATTTAAAAACACTGGACACTGCTAAATATATATTTTTTAACACATATTTTTAAGGAGTCTTTGTGCAGTAGGCATTTAATTGAAATTGAAATATCAGTTTTGGTCAAGTTAGTCATTTATTTTGTTAATTTAAATTCTTCAATATATATATATATATATATATATATATATAAACCCAATAATTTGAGCTGTATTATACAGTTGAAAACAGAATTATTATCTCCCCTGGATTATTAGTGACTCTTTTTATTTTTCCCCCAATTTCTGAAGATTTTTTCAGCACATTTCTAAACATAATAGTTTGTTCTGTAGAGAAAAAAAAAATTTAGCTTAAAGTGGCTAATAATTTTGTCTTTAAAATGGTGTTTAAAAAATTAAAAACTGCTTTTATTCTAGCCGAAATAAAACAAATAAGACTTTCTCCAGAAGAAAAAATGTTATCAGACACACTGTGAAAATTTCCTTGCTCTGTTAAACATAATTTGGGAAATATTTAAAAAAGAAAAAAAAATCAAAGCGGGGGTTATAATTCTGACTTCAACTGTACATAAAACATGTATAATACAGCTCAATATGTTACATATAATACATGCAGATTCTAGTCTAATCTAGTCTAGATTTCTGGACCTTTCTTGCACTCTGTCATCTTGTTTTTGTCTTTTCTTTGTTCTTCATCAGACAGTGGACATCCACAAGGAGAAGGTGGCCCGGCGAGAGATTGGCATCCTGACAACAAACAAGAACACGGCGAGGACTCATAAGATCATCGCTCCCGCCAACGTGGAGCGGCCGGTGAGGTACATCAGGAAGCCCATCGACTACAACGTTCTGGATGATGTGGGCCATGGAGTGAAGGTATGCAAGCTGGCATCTTTTAAAACCACATTCACTGCTTCTATCTCACTATTATTCTGGGAAGTCGGCTCACTTCGGTCTCCATTTTTGTGGATTTAGTCGGATTAAAATGTAGTCTAATGTGCAACAGTTTGCTTGAAATGGAAGGTAAATCTAAAATATTGATTCCTTAGCATTTTAATGTAACACAATCCAAAACAAGGCTTTACATTAACTTTTTTAATCACTGGCCACTGTGGCTGGTAGTTTTCCAATGTTACTAGCCACTGAGCATTTTCACTAGCCACAATTTTGTTGTTGGGAAAATATATTATATATGCATACATTTTACATCGACATGCTAAAATGACTTGATTTAAATTTTGTGTTATGTCCACATGCCTCCTCATTTATTTCACTTTTTGTGTGTCGAGTATGAGTTTGCTCAATGAGCATGAGCAGGTCATGGTTTCATAGTGTTATATTACAATTGGTTTTTATTTCACATGACTTTTTTTAGGGCTCAAAATTATTAATGTACCAAATTTATCTCTATAACCACATTAAACAATAATTATTTCTTAGCCACAAATGTTTAATGTGTCAAAACAAGCAAAATATAGCTGTATACTATACTTTTTACTTAACAAAACATTTCTTAAAAAATAAAGAAAAGCAATTGACTTTTAAAAAATAACTATTCCCATGTATCAAAAATATGCACAGTAATCTGTCGTGGCTAAAGATCTCTCGGATCACCAGTTAACTGCACATAAATGGAGAGTTCATCTCCCATTAAAGCAGTGTTGTAAAAAATTATAATAATTAAACCATTTTAACAAAAATAAAACCGTATGCAAATAAAAGCAGGTGAAACATACCGTGTGTGATAATGAAAGGAAGATCACATGCTCACGGTTAACTTTAGGCCATTTAATAATCTGTTCAAAGTGAAAGCAACTGGTGCTGCTTACAAAAAGACAGATTTTGAGCTCTTAAAAGCATCAGGACTGTGGAGGCATGTTCATTACCTTTTGTCTAGTTTATTTGAAAGAGAACCGATGACAGTTGCGTTTCCAGACCCTGTTCTAGACACGGCTGCTTCACAATTCGGGAGCGCGTACGCGTTAAGCAGTCGCGCGCATCACATCAGCTGTTAGCGCAAGTGATCATCATCCTCTCATTCGGTATTCATTTGCTTTCTTCTGCTCGCGTGATCACAATTATTTTACTTCTCGATTCTAAGATCACATTTGCACTCATATTGGGACATCCTTATATTGTCGACCCCTGCTTTTAGAAAAACTACAATTTAAAAATTATTTTCAACCAGCCTAGTTGGGATTTAGTGGGATTGGCGGGTGTTAATGTAAAGCCCCAATCCAAAATAATATCATAATATATGCACATAGACAAAAATCTGCATCATTATACATTATATAAATTAGTAAGCTTAAGAAAAAAGTTGATGAAAGTTTACGAAGTATGAAAGGTTATGAAAATAAGGTTATGGATAATGATAGACAACTGAGCTGAATGGCAGAAACTTACTCCTCTCTCTGCTCCCGGAAAAGAAATCAATGAAATAGGACGTAATACAATCCATTATAAAAAGAAAGGACCAAAGCAAATTGGCCATGCTGTACACATTCCTGCCGTCCAGCGTATTGACAGCAGCATCAGTGTTATCTGAAGTGCTGAAATGTGCAAAAGTCTGACCCAGTGACAGCTTCACCCTCCGCCTGTGCTTAATCTGACAGGATTGTGAGTGTTGTGAATCCTCATGAGGGATTAGGGCTGAAATGACGCCTGCGACCCAACAGCCGATCAATCACAGGCGTTTATAGGATGAGCCTAATGCTGAATCAATATTAACAGTCAGAGTTAAAGTTAACCTCTGTTTGTTTGTGTAGTTTCAGTAATAGGGTTGAAGTGCCAGTGGCTGTAGTCCAACTAAATCAGCGCTTCTCAACTGGTTTCGCTCTGGGACCCACATTTTCTCTAGTCATTAAGTCATGACCCATTTTTCCCCATACATATACACATATAGAAGGATTGGACAATAAACTGAAACACTGGCCATTTTAGTTATGGAGGTTTCATGGCTAAATTTGACCAGCTTGGTGGCCAATCTTCATTGATTACTCATTCCATTAGTATGAGCAGCATGTGAAGGTTTTATTATCAGAGTAATAGCACAGTTCTGCTTGAAAATATTGCAATTTAGACAACATTATGGGTCTCATATCAGAGTTCCAAACGAGGATAAGCTGTTGGTGCGTGTCTCACTGGCACATCTGTGACCAAGACAGCAAGTCTTTGTGATGTATCAAAAGCCACGGTATCCAGGATTATGTTAGTACACCAGCAAGAAGGATGAACCACATCCAACAGGGGTAACTGTGCACACAAGAGGAAGCTGTCTGAAAGGGATGTCCATGTGGGAACCTGGATTGTGTCCAAAAAACATGCCTAAGTCACTCCAGAATTAAATATGTACCTCAACTCTCCTGTTTCCACCAAAACTGTTTGCCTAGAGCTCCACAGGGTCAGTATACATGGCTGGGCTGCTATAGCCAAACCTGTGGTCACTCATGCTAATACCAAATGTCAGTTTCAATGGTGCCAGCAGTGAAAATCTTGGGCTGTGGATGATGTGAAACATGTATTGTTCTCTGATGAGTCCACCTTCGCTGTCTTTCCCACATCGTGGAGTTACGGTGTGGAGAAGCCCCAAAGAAGCGTACCACCAAGACTGCTGCATGCCCAAATTGAAGCACGGGGTGGATCAGTGATGGTTGGGCTGCAATATCATGGCATTCCCTAGTCCCAGTACTTGGTTCAAACTTTGTATCCTGAAGGTGGTGCTGTTTATCAGAATGATAATGCTCCAATACACAGAGCAAGACTGGTGACAAAGTGGTTTGATGAACATGAAAGTGAAGTTGAACATCTCCCATGGCCTGCACAGTCACCAGATCTAAATATTATTAAGCCACTTTGGGCTGTTTTGGAGAAGCAAGTCAGGAAACATTTACCTCCTCCAGCATCATGCAGTGACCTGGACACTATTCTACAAGAAGAATGGCTCAAAATCCCTCTGACCACTGTGCAAGACTTGTATCTGTCAGTCCCAAGATGGATTGATGCTGTATTGGTAAAAGGAGGCATGAGTTTCAGTTTCATGCCATCCTGCCAACTGTAAAACAATCTCTGCGCTGATTACTACATTGTATTATTCATATATTAATGTAGTCACTTTGTTGCCGTGATTTGGGCAGGGCCCGTCTTTCATTACACCACTGCAAAGTGCCAGAGTTGATATCATACTAAAAGTGAAACGCTGGTTTCATGCCAACCCTGCAGTGCGTACTGCTGTCACTGAATGTCCTGACCGTGTTTTATTACACCGTTTTTTTTTTTTTTTTTTTTTGCTGTTGGCATGATGTCATTCAGTAGGAGAAACCGTAACCTTGAGTCACCTGACAGGAGGATTACAGTCTTCAGACAAATTCACTGTGTTTGCAGAAGATGAGATTTATTTTCAGAGTCAATGGACACTTAATCTAGTCAGCGGCCGCAGGAATGCAGAGGAGTTTTCAGATCATTTTATTTTTACTAGTTTGTTTAACTTCCCTTTTCTGTTCAGGAAAAACATTGGGATTCTTCGAGTTGGTGAATATTAAGTGCACAGGATTTTGGTACTGTCAGAGTTTGATAAATTAAGCCGTATTTCTGTCAGGAGGATTTTGCATTTCTGCTGATTTCACAGAGATCTAAATGAACACCGCATTTGTGCTTGTTTGATGAGGTAAATCTGGAGCTGGTATAAAAGATTCAGTACATGCTAAATTCCTGTGGACTTTGAACCTCCACAAAAAACTGATTGAAAACCTGCTAATTAGTCCATTATTTAACTAATTATAGAAAATCTCTATTTATTTTTATTTTATTTTATTGTTTGATTTTATTTTATTTGATTTAGTTTTATTTTATTTAGATTTGTTTTATTTTATTTATTTCATTTTAATTTTTTATTTAATTTTATTGTTTTATTTTATTTTATTTTATTTAGTTTTGTTTTTATTTTATTTATTTCATTTCATTGTTTTATTTTTATTTGAATCAATCTATTTATTTATTCATTCATTCATTTATTATTCGTTTAATGTACTATTTCTGGGTTTTTACATTTTATTTTGTTTCATTTTTATTGTTTTGTTTATTTAATGTTTGATTATTCGATCAAGTGTTTATTTATTTATTTACATTTTGTTTGTTTATTTCTTTATACATAATTATTTTTTATTATGATTTGATTTTATGTACTTTTTTATTTTAATTATTTTTCTTAATATTTATAAGACTTATTTTATAGTTACTTATGTTTTTATTGTTTTGAGTATTTTTAAATGTTTTTAAATTTATTTTTCATCTTTGTAATCTAAGTTTTATTTATAATCTTTATTTATTTATTTTAAAAAATTATATTTAAAAAAAAAAAAAAAAGGTATTCAATGTCTTGTATTTCGTTCATCTAGTCACAGCTGAATGGATCGCAGCTACATGTTGTGCGTCAGCCCTTTTATTCAATATAGCCTAGCCTTAAGTGCTTATTTCTGAAACACAATATTGTTAATTCAGGTCAATTTTACACTATAGTTTCTTTTTTCTGCCTACATAAGGTATAAGCATAGTCTTAGTTACTTTAGAGCTCATTGCTCATACGTGACAGTGCATTAATAATAGCACACTGTGCATGTTGTGCTGAACATTCACTGCACACGCAGCCATTGTGATGATGAGAGGCCTTTGTTTCTGCAGTTTCTGCATTTTTAAGATGAATGCTTTTCACATCCTAAATGGTTATTCTTAGGACGCACCTTCGAACTTTTTAAAGACCAAACCCAAAGGCACATTATATCAAAAAATTATCCTTATTGCAATAATATTATATGTAGAGAGGTATGACAAATTCATACCTCTGACTGACCCAGCTGGGACTTGAACCAGTGACCTTCTTGCTGTGAGGCAACAGTGCTAACCACTAAGCCACAATGTCGCCAGAGCAATACCTTTAGGGTTTGTTTTAATTAATGCAAACCTACCCAGGGTAAACAAACCTTTAGCAATCACACAAATGGACTGGAGTTTAAGCCAAATAATACAGTATGATAAAAGACCCGGCGGGCAGGAGAGCTGGAATCAATTTCTACTTCAGAGCACTCAATCCAAGCGAGTGTGAAAACAGCCATATTGTCAGGAAAAAAGCATTTTAGCATCGACTCGCTCCGCTCCAGTGAAGTGAAATGTAGCTTTAGAGATCTGAAGTGCTTCTGCGCTGCTTTAAGAGCTCTAAAACGGAGATATCAGATTTGTGCCTCTCTCCCTCTCTCTCTCACTCTTTCTGCTGTAATGGTCACAAGGGAAACGGTATCATCTAGAATAAATATAGAGTACAAATATTAAATATTATAAAATGATAAATTATATTACAAGTTTGTCTGATATTTGGTCAGTAGGAGGAGTTATTTGTACAGCTGATTAATATTAAATGCTTATTTTGTATTTTTAATGGAACACTACACTTTTTTTTAAAATAGGCTCTTTTATCAAGTCTCCTAGAGTTAAATATTTGACTTGAACCATTTTTTTTCAATTAATTAGCATAGCATACCTTAGCATAATGAATTGAATCAGATTAGACCATTAGCATTCGAAAAATTCCGAAAACAGTTTTAATGATTTTCCTAGTAAAGCTGGTGCCTTCTGTAGTTACATTGTGTAATTAAACCAATGGAAAATTAAACATCTCTATTTTCTGATTCAATTCATTATGCTAAGCTAAGCTAATTTAAAATGACCGTGCCAGAAAAAGAAATCAGCTAAATTGATAAAAAAAAATGGTTTGAGTCAACTGTTTAACTCTAGGAGACTTGAAAAATGAGCCTTTATCAATTTGTGAGGTTTTCAGAAGCTTAGAGTACATACAGACGGACAGAAATACATTAAATAAGTGGACATTTAAATAAGTGGAAAATAAAGTAAAGAATACAAATTGTTAAGTATAATGTTTAACTACATCTACAGGAGAAAGTTTATGTGCATTGATGATTTTTGAACAGTACAAATAAGAAATAGAGATATTTATCTAAAAGAATTTACAATTAGGTGACAAAAACCATAAATGGTAAGGCTCCTGTATATTTATGATCCTAAGAAAACAGCTAACTATTAAGGTTGGATATGGCCTGAGGAAAAAAAAATCCACCTAGATGATTTAGTGTATAATAATATGATTGTGCAAAGAAAAATGGTTTTATAAAGGTATTGTTAAGCCTCAAATCTTTCTCTCTCTCTTTGTCTTTTACTTTGGTTATAAATCATACTCTTTCTCTTTTTTTCCTGCTCACGCTAGTGGCTTAAAGCCAAGGTAAGTGCACCTGTCCCATGATCCGTTCTGCTTTAGTCCATCACTGCTGTAGTCTACCCTATGTACATCTTCATTTTCCTAAATTCATCCTTCCCCCCCAAAAAAGGCTTGTCACGATCCCTGATTAATCATCAGAATGTAGATTATTAGTCTAATTGCAAAATCAGAATTATTATTGAAAATATGCTTATAGTTTAGCCCCCATCAGGTCATTCAAGATGAAGCTGGCTTTTTTTCTTCAGTAGAACATTAAAGATTTCTAGAGGTAACTGTGGTCCTTTGGGATTTATATAATTACATAACAAATTATATAATGAAGTCAGTGCTTGCCATCAAAATGAGTTCAAAAAGCATATCAGGGGACACAAAATTTGTGGCTGCTGATGATACATTGGAGTCTTATGAAGTGAAACTGCAAGAAACTGAACATTATTTACAACATATTTAACATTTTTAGTTAATTTGGGAGGTTACTGGTTCACATCCACTGTTAACAATGTCTTATTGAATTGACAGTAACTTACTGGCAGCAGTTTGCTGTTAATGAATAAGTGAATATTTAATATCTACAGTACCATTTATCTTGGTATACTTATGTGTACCTTTACTGTAAAATACACAATATTTTTAGTTTTCTTATCTGTGATATATTTGAAAACAATAAAAAAAAACTTGTAAGTCAATGTGCATGTATCTATGTACTGCAAAACAATCTAAAGGGTAAATACTATTTGATATTTGTTTACAATTAGATGATTGGCCATCATTCATGGACATTTTTAATTTTTTACTGTATTTTGATTCATGGTAAATTACTAATACCAGTTTAATGGAGCTAATAGGATATTTTCCCACTATTTTAACATACAGCAACATACTGTGTTGCTGTCATACATACAGTAAAATGCATTTAACATTACAGTGAAATACTGTGCATTTTACACATTGTTTAAAGCCACTGATTCACCTTTGCTTATGTTATAACACAATTAAGTAATAATTATGCAATTGAACTACAGGGGCAAGTAATGTTAATATGAAGTATGGACATTTTACACCTGAAATACATGCATAAAGTGAATAAAATGGTATTTATAATCTCACTTTTTGTACAACATTATGTTATTTCACCTCTACACGTTTATCGCCAGCTCTTTGTTTTATGTCTATGTCAGAACAGAGTCTCTGAATTTCAGTGGATGGTGTATTAACATATTTCAAGTAACGGTAATGTCTCAGAGTGGGTTTTAATTGAAATACTTAAGAAGCAAAAGTGCTTTAGACAAAAAAAAAAATTGTTTGTAACCCAGATGGCACTCCCATTATATTGGCGAGGCTGTGGATTAAAAGATAATATGACCAATGCTTTATTAGACCTTAATGTATCATCAAGAAACACAGGTATTGATTGATTGATTGATTGATTTTTGACAAATTGAAGGAACTGTTGACTTTATAGATCACTAAAAAAATGAATTCACCAAGTTTTCTTTCATATTTTATTGGAGATATAGTATAAACTGCATCTTGACTGACCTGAGGGCGAGTAACTTTACACAACACATTCTAATAATTGGGTGGGCATTATAGGTGTGAAAATTTAATAATAATCATGACAAGCCTACTCATATCTCATCATATTACAGTATATAAATCTAATAGTTGTAGGTCAATCCCATTGCATCATGATCAGTAATTCAATGTTATTGAAAGAATATTACACATTTTATTAACACCGATTCAAATCAGTTTTGCAACTGAACCATACAGATATCCATGTAATTGAATTATCTGGACTAATTTTGTTCAGTTTCTTTGGTACTTTATTTACTGTTAATATACTTTTTTTTGTATATATATGATGTTTATATAGTAAAAATACATTTTGTGTATAAGATAGTATATATGATTGTGTATATGAAGTATAGTGAATTTATTTGAGTGTTTTAGAACTTCTAGATCTTTTTTTTAGATCTTTGTTTGTGTAAAAAGGAAAAAAATGGCAGTAGTTAAAAAATACTTAATATTAATTGAAATTTTCTGTCGTTTTAAGTGTTTAGGATGCTAATAACGTCATTATTTCCTGTTTGCATTCTAGATGGCATTGCCTATTGAAAAACCCATATTGATCACTAGTCACTAGGTCACTAGTTGTTTGTCATTTTGAATCAATGGTTCTCATTCATGAAACATGACTGAAATTAATTTTAAGTTGATGGCTCATAAAACTCTTTTGACAATATGTCGCTGATAATTTATATATATATATATACACACACAATTAAGAATATATACACACACAATATATACAAATACTGCCTGACAAAAGTTTTGTCATTGATCCCAGTTGTAAGAGCAAGAAATAATAACTTGACTTTTAGTTGATCATTTGGAAAAGTGGCAGAAGGTAGATTTTTTTCGATGAATCATCTGTTGAACTGCATCCCAGTCATCACAAATACTGCAGAAGACCTACTGGAACCCACATGGACCTAAGATTCTCAAAGAAATCAGTCAAGTTTGGTGAAGGAAAAATCATGGTTTGGGGTTACATTCAGTATCAAGAGATCTGCAGAGTGGATGACAACATCAATAGCCTGCTGTATCAAGACATTTGTGCTGCCCATTACATTACAAACCACAAGAGAGGGACAATTCTCCAGCAGGATAGCGCACCTTCTCATTCTTCAGCCTCCACATCAAAGCTCCTGAAAGCAAAGAATGTCAAGGTGCTCCAGGATTGGCCAGCCCAGTCACCAGACATGAACATTATTGAGGATGTTTGGGTTAAGATGAAGGAGAAGGCATTGAAGATGAATCTAAAGAATCTTGATGAGCTCTAGGAGTCCTGCAAAAACGCTTTCTTTGCCATTTCAGATGACTTTATTAATCTGTGATTTGAGTCATTGCAGAGATGTATGGATGCAGTCCTCCAAGCTCACGGGAGTCAAACACAATATTAATTTTTTCTCCACTGCAGCAGGACATTATTTTCTATGCTGTTTATACATTATTTCTGTTAAGTGACAAGACTCTTACTAAGCAAAGTCAGACCTTACTCTCCTAATTAAATAATTAAAAATCAAGTCATGATCATATTTTATTTTGGTAAAATCAGCATAATCTAGAGGCCTTTGCCTTTCATATAAGCCACTTCTGATACCAAATGATCAACTAGAAGTCAAGGTGTTATTTGTTGTTTCTAAAACTTGGATAGGCGACAAGACTTTTGTCAGGTAGTGTACAATATATACAATATACTGGTTGGTTATGAAATGGTCATGAAACCTGAATAGGTATAAAAGTTTTTGTACTGTTACATGACCAACCCAGACAATATATTGTTTCAGACTGCTAAAAATTTACAATGTTGATTAAAAATACCTTTTTTTCCCCACATTTGCATAAATCAAGGTTCTATAATACAGCTAAACTTAGTTGTAAACAAATAAGCATAAAACAGCCATGACTCATGTGCTGCAATGGGGAACCGTTAATAATTGACATTTCGAACCGTGTAGTTGTATTTCAAGACTGTGCTAATTATGAGAGTGTAAATACACACCTTGGCTATCAAATATAGGATGGCTAATCATTTTAATCCATTTTACATAAGAATTTCTTATATTTCCTGAAGTTTCATGAATGAGACCCTTCCATTGCAGTAATAAGTTAGGTTGGAATCAATTGTTTTGTCTGGTAAAACAGTTGTTTAGTCTTCTTGGCTCCATTTCTTTGCTTTTGTTTATGTAACCTTGTTGTCAAGCTCTGTTAAAACACTTAAACAAATGTTTTTGTCCAATCAGCAACACGGCAACAATCAGTCCATCAGAGGAGGAACTCTGTCCAGAACCAATCCCCCGACTCAAAAACCTCCCAGTCCACCGCTGGCGGGACGAGGAACTTTGGGGTAAGACATCGTTTCGCCATCTGCCTCAGGAGCATTAAAACGTAACTGAGATGATAAATCTGGTAGACTGCAGTTGGACACGAATAGTGTTTAGTCAACAGTAAAGCCAGACGTCCACTGTAAAAAATGTCAGTGATTCCAATGGTGAAAAATAAGTTTACTTAATATATACAGTAAAATACCGCAAATTCACTTTCCCACTAGTGCCTGCATTATTAAAAATAAGGTATGAGCGTAAATTAATTTTCAAAATGTTGCGCTAAATTATTGTGTTTTGTCAATTTATAGTCAAACACCAATGTTTTGAAGCACTAACATTTACACAACGTAGCTTTGTCACACATTTTTAACTGTAAAATTCAAGTAACCACAGCTGCCAAGTTTCTTACTGCAAATTTGACAGATTTCTTTTTACAGTGTATTATTGTAAAAGCTATTTAACTATATATTCATACCTGCCAACACTCCCATTTTTCTCCTTTATTTCAAACACATCTTCTGCCACCATCCCGTTTTGTTATATCACACGGAAAACTCCCGTAATTTCCCCCCACCCCCTGTCCTCAGCTTTGTGGTACAGTCTGTAACACCCCCGGGTTGCCAACTTTTGTATACTATCTGATCACAGCCTCCGCCCAAAACCCAGTCCATAGTACAGTTACTAACCCGGTGTCCTGACATTTTATCCTACACATCAGATTATGCTACCAACACTCTATTAGAATGGTTCTGAGGTTAGGGATTAGGCCAATATTACAGCTTCATGTCACAGTACTCCACAATAATTTACACTGGTAGGAAAAATCTTATGGGTAGCATATTGTGTCATCGAATTGCGTCTCTCAGAGTTTCAGACACAAATGTTGGCAGGTATGTATATATTATATTCGCTATATAATATATACTTAATATATACAGTAAATAACTGTAAATTCACATTCCCACAATTGCCTCCATTATTAAAAATACAGTAGGAACGTAAATAAAATTTCGAAATGCTTCGCTAAATTACCGCATTTCATTAATTTACAGTCATAAACTAGTGCTTTAAAGTACTAACATTTACACAACGTAGCTCTGTTACACTGTTTTAACTGTAAAATTCTGGCTGCAGTTTGTTTTTTTACTGTAAATTTTATAAATTTTGTTTTTTCCAGTGTATTATTGTAAAAGGTATTTCTAATATGTTTGTCTGTGTTTGACATGCATTTACAGGCGTAACACTTCTTATAAAACACTGGAGCCAGTAAAACCTCCAACGGTGCCCAATGATTACATGACGAGTCCGGCTCGATTGGGCAGCCAACACAGTCCAGGACGAACTGCATCTCTTAACCAGAGACCGAGAACACACAGGTAACACAGCAAACTGACTTACTGAAATTCATCAACCGAAGCATTTAGCAAATTATATCTCAAATCTGAGGTTATGTATCATTTTAGAGTGGTAAATGAGGGTTTTTTTAGGCACATTTTATGCAAATTCTTTACTCTTATTTACCTGGCGCAGTCATTTAGGATTTACATTTGATAATTTGTAATAGTATATATATATATATACACTGTGTATTTATTCATTCAGAAAGTTATTAGAGTCAATTTAATGTAATTAATAAAAAACAAATGTTGTTAGATAAATATTAGAATTTGTTCAACATTTAACACATTTACCTTTTTGTTTAACATGTTTTATTTGTTTAAAATTTTAATTTTTTTACCAGTTTATTTAGTTTATTTATTAATTTAATAATTCGTTCATTAATTTGTCAGTTCCTTTGCTTGTTCATTCGTTTGTTGTTTCATTCAGTTGTTCAATTGTTTATTTGTTCATTTATTTATTTGACTGTCTTTACCGTTTATTTAACTTTCAAATCTGAGGTCATGAAGCCTTTTCAGGGAAGTTAAAATGTTGGTGCAAGCTTGTGGAAGTTTTCAATTGTCCAACATGTAATAAATTTAACTGGAATTTAGTTAATTCGTTTATTTAACATTTGTATTATTATTATTTAACAATGGAATTTCTTTCATATTTAACATATTTAACCACCAATTATTTATACAATTAGTTTGTTTAATAAGAATTCATTAACACATATTTAAGTATCAAATTTGAGTTTACGAATAATTTCTGAACAAATTTTATTTTACACAATTTGCTGGTATATTAACGAAAGTTACTTCATTTATTATGATTATTTAAATGCACACATGTAACCATCAATCTTTTAGCATGTCATTTTTTATGACTATTGATATGAATCAAATAAAACACATTAATTAAATTGAATAATACATAAGGGGTTTTATATTTAATAGTTTGAGGTTTTCACAAGTCCCAATGAATCAGATGTTTTTCTCTCATGATGTGGTCTTGTTCTACTCCTCGTCTTCCACTTTTTCCCATCATCCTCCACAGCTTTATTTCAGTTTGTCAAGAGCACATTTGACATCCTCTTGGGGGGAATCTTACATTCTCTTCATGTTCTTCATTGTCTTAATGTCTAAATCACAAGCCTAATCTGGGCCTTCCTGAACATTCAGAGTGTGTGCAGTCTGTTCTCTTCAAGCCCCCTCGTCTAACATCTGTAAATGATGTCCTCACAGTAGTCCACACCTCCAGCACACTGCAGACCACAGCGAATAATTCCCTCCTCCCAACAGCGCTGCATGCTGGGAATGACCAAAATGAATGGGCCTCATTAGTTAATGCTGACTGTGATGCCATAAATAATGCAATAATACAGAAACTTTTCATTTGTTTAAATGGCTGCACCACTCACAAACTCCCGTGAGTGTGAGAAATGCATGCTTCCAAATATTCCTCTGTGCAGTTCCTCTGGTATTACGGTATATTACTGTACATAGAAAGGAAATTCCTTATTCATTTACACTTACAGTGATCTCCATTAACAATATCAATCTTGGTAAATTAGTTGGAAGGTTGGTCGGTTAGTTAGTTGATTAGTTAGTTGGAAGGTTGCTTGGTTGGTTAGTTAGCTGATTGGTTAGTTTTTTGAAGGTTGGTTGGTTAGTTAGCTGATTAGTTAGTTCACTAGTTGGAAGGTTAGTTAGTTAGTTAGTTAGTTAGTTAGTTAGTTAGTTAGAAGGTTGGTTGGTTGGTTGGTTAGGTAGTTAGTTGATTAGTTAGTTGGTTAGATGATTATTTAATTAGTAGGTTAGTCAATTGGTTGGTTAGTTGGTTAGTTCAATAGTTTATTAGTTAGATTAATAGTTAGTTGGCTAGTTAGATGATTATTTAATTAGTTGGTTAGTTAGATGGTTGATTGGTTTATTAGTTAGATCATTAGTTAGTTGTTTTGTTAGTTGATTGGTTGGTTAGTTAGTTAGTTAGTTAGTTAGTTAGTTAGTAAGGTGGTTGTTTAGTTGCTTGGTTAGTTAATTTGTTTAGTTCATTAGTTCATTAGTTAGACGATTAGTTAGTTGGCTGGTTAGTTGATTAGTTAGTCAGTTAGTCAGTCTTTTTTTAACAACTTTTTTTGTTTTTTTAATTCAACACTGGGATTTCATTCACATTTAACACATTAATTAATAATGAATTTTTGTTTAATTGGAATTAATTAATACATATTTAAGTATCAAATTTAAAAGGACGTTATTATTAAAGTGTAAAAACAAGTAATCTACTGAAAAATTGCTTCTGCGTTTCCAGTGGCGGTCTTTCTCTGATGATGTTAGTTTGATGGTTTTTACCTCAATATTCTTAACCACGCCCATCTAATTGTTAGTTTGCTGTGAGGGAATGATGGAAAGCTCCGCCCACCACTCAATGTTCCGTTTCAGATGGAAGTACATCAGCATACGGAAAAGCCTTAGCTACTTCCGGTTTATATGGATTTTAACCTTTTGTTCAAAATTAAAAAATTAACTTAATTGACTTCTCATTAATGTGAATAGAAGCTTTTCAAAACTTTTTAATCAGTTTGTGGTGAAATTTTCTCAACCCAAGACTCACATAACTGCTGTAATTCTTCAGCTGTTATTCTTGGAGATTTTTTTTATTTTTTTTGGCCACTCAAACCATCATCCTGTCAGAAAGACGCATGTTCACTTCCAGGCTGATTCACAGCACTTCCAGTTGACTGAAAGTTCTTCATCATCACCAGTGTTTTTGTTGTTTTCATGTGGCTGCTTCCCATTTTGTGAGGCTCAAAAACCTTTTCCTTTTCAAAAACCACAACTCAGAGTCATGTGTTTGGTCTTACTCATTGTGGTAAATGACTGAGTTAGACTTTTGTGTTTCACCTCATATCATACCATATCTCAAATCATATTTATAACAGTGTTCTGCTTCTATGTTCAGAACAAAACAATGAGAAAATAAGAGCAAAACTAATTTGTTCAAATGAAATCAGAAGGGTGTAATTTTTTGTGGAAATATTCACACACATATTAATTAATTAATTTATTTGTTGGTTTGTCTTGGAACCCTGCCATGCAAACCATTTTAGCCATCTTATGGTGAAGTCATGAACACTCTAATGGCCTGCAGTTCTTTGGCGATTATTGTGGGGTCTTTGTGACCTGTAGATCTGAATTATTTTCTTTATCATTTGTTTTGGAATTTCCTTGGATATCCTCATCTTTTTGAGTATCTTTTGGTCTTCTTCACTTTGCCTATTCAAGTGATTTCTCAATTGCAAACAGGTCTGGCAGTAATAAGGGATTTATATGACTAGTGAAATTGAACTCAGGTCTAATAAACTTGAGTTAAGTTAGGTTTTAATAGGATGGGGGTGTGGGGTAATTTACACAGGGATATGTAGTTTTAGATTTTGTTTTCCCTTAATAATTAAAACATTAATATAAAAACTTCATGATGTTAACTTTTGTTATCATTGATTAATATTTAAATATGTTTAGTTAACAATGTGAAACATTGTGTGACAAACCAAGTGTGACAAAGATGCAAAAATAAGAAGATATCAGTAAGGGGGAAACACTTTTTCACACCACTGTATATATTTTAAACAAAAGATCAAAAGACTAACAGATAAAAACATGTTTTTCACAGTATTCTTAGCTCATGTTTACCGGGGGGTGTTGATTTTAGAGGAGGGCACTGTATCTCTAAAGGGCCATTCACACAGAATACAGCTGCAGAGCACCATTTTTTTTTTTTTTTTAAAGAAAATAAAAAACAAGGCAAAACAAAAACCATAGTCATGTCAGCTTACTTTAGTAAACAAAAGCTTGCATGTCTTGTTCTGCCTCAGAGTTTCTCTGATTGGCTTTGGAACATAAAATTGAGGTGCACTGCAAACTTGAAACAGTATCCTAAAAATGTGTCAGCCATAAATACAAAGTACAGATAAATAAAATGAAACGAATCTAATATTGTATTGAAAACTTACCTTAACTAATTCAACTTCTGAGTGATATAATGAGTTTATAATGCTTTTTACTCACTTAAAAAAGAACAGCCTTAGAAAACAGATTCGTTGTACTTAAAATACAATTTATAAAAGCCACTCTCGAACACTAGCATGTAGCCGACAGTGTTTATCAGACTTTAGCAGCATCAGCGGTTTGTATATGCACTTCTCATATGTGATTACGATGAGGAATGACCCACGTCTCCACCTGAGCCATTATCTGCTCTCCAGAAGTGTTCAGTTCTGCTGATTCAGCTCTTTTTATGCTGCCTTCATCCGAACTCACTCAATGCCTAATGCAGAATGAGAAACGACCATTATTAATGGGTCAATTTACTGATAGATCTAGTAATTGGTGAGAATGAGGAGCTGAGAATCAACTAATTGGAATTAGTTAAGTTTCAAAGCTTATAGTCTACCACAAAAAAATTATTGATTTTGTCACAGAGAACACTACATTTGCTTTGCCTAAATGCACCCATTTAAGTCCAGATGCTAATTCTTTAAACATTTTGATTCCAGTTTGAAATATTAGCATAACTGTGTTCAAAAGTATACATATGTGCAATTAGCAGATGAGGCTTTACGTTTTGTTTCTATGTTGTTTGTTGTGATGAGGTGAATTCAATCAAAGAGTATGGGCTCTATTTTAACGATCTAGGCTCAAAGTCTAAAGCGCAGGGCGCAAAAGGATTTAGGGCGTGTCAGAATCCACTTTTGCGATTTTATGGATTGAAAAATGCGGTTTGCACCGGGTGCATGGTCTAACAGGGTTGTGCTTATTCTCTTAATGAGTTATGGGTGTGTTTTGAGCATAACCTGCATTAATCAAATCAGAGTCACATCTCCATTCCCTTTAAGAGTCCGTTGCGTTGCACCATGGCACATTTGCTATTTACATGGCGGACTTGGTAGAATTTGTTTAAACGCTTCACTGGTGAGAAAACAGTTAAACTGTTCTAAGATAAAGAATGAGCCTCCTCCATTCGGCCTCTTTACTTTACTTTAACTCTTTACTCCTTTACTTTTGTGGATAAGGAAATGGTGTTGTACACACTCCACTAAAGACATCCATCAGCCTACATGTTTAATTTAGTTTGTTAAGCTCAAAGATTTGTTTCAAAACTATTTCTAAATTCAGTCCTAATTTCCAGCAAACGAAATGAACAATAATAACGAAGTGTGGTCAAAAAACCACACAAAGATAGTCATGTAGTCATGCAGACGTCTCCAAAACCCGACAGGTGGACAAACATACAGGCGCATACAGTATCTAACCTGCTCTGCGCCAGACTTTAGACCAGTTGGTCAGGGGCGCAGTCTATTTCATTTCATTGCACCTAAACACACGTCCATTTTCGACCGGAACACCCATGTGTCCACAAAGTGGTGCAAGTGGATTTGCTATTTAAACAACGTGTCACAAAAGCATGAAAATTACGGTTGCGTTGGTCTGAAAATAGCAACAAATCACCCCATACTCAAGACATGTTTGGCGCGATTTGCTGCTATTTTCAGACCAATTGTCTTATTGTGCCAGGTGTATGATTGGGCCCCATATGTACAAAGACTTTACTCACATTACTTTCAATTGCAAAAGTATAATATACCTAAGGAAGTCCCACCTTTCAGACATATTACCCAGTTGTCAGTCTTTGTATCCATATTGTAAAAAGATCTGTAGAATTTGCGGTAAAAAAGGGCAGCTGTGGTTGACAACATTTTACCATTAAAAATTCAGCAGAAATGTAAAAAATGTCTATATTTAACAATTAATTACTGTATTTAGTTTTTTTGATCATAAGTGGGATGTAGTGAAGTGACGTAGCAAGTAAACAATTCAAGTCAAGAAGGAGCACAAAGCGGCCGGCTGTAATTTCGCTACACAACTATATTGATTATTAGATTATCAGACATATTTGCAGTAGCGAATCCCCCAGGGTGAGAGGCTATTTCTGTGAGAATGGTACTAAATGCTGCATTTTTTTTGGCCTTGCATGTGTGCATGTCTTAAGTTCCAGTTATATCGTTCTGAATTAGAAAACAGATAACCCCAGGGTGTGTAAGACATGTCCTTTTTACGCTCTTTAATCGGTCTGCTTTCCTCAATTTTCTGTTTCCTTGCACAGCTTTTTGTCCAGACGGAACCAGATGTGAGCGGAAGCGAGGTGACAACATAGTTGGGTTTTGTCTAAGCTAGTTTTTTGGCGTCAGCTTGGGGTGTACCAGCCCTTATCTTATTGATAAGTATTATTTTTGGGGTTGTTCAGTGTAATTCACATAATTTCTACATATTGTAAACTATAAAACACTCTAAACTAGCGTACTTTTTTGTATTGTTTATATGCCTCATTTATAATTTAAGACACGTTTACAGATATTTTTCCATCCCATAATAACTCTGTGGTTAATTGTTTTAGAAAACATAAATGGATGTTTCAGTATAATGTTAAATCAATATATTCCCTGTGAATTAGTTTTTACAGCAAATATCACGTCCATAAAGCTGGAAATTTTCAAAAGGTTTAACAATAGTATTACCGAGTGAAGTTTTGCACAATAAATGCATCCTTAACTTAATATTAGAGTTCAGACAATGGAGCAAAAAAAGAGGCCAATATAATGAGATGTCTTGCATTGCATTATGGGCCCCCTGCTGCTCTGGCTTGTGTGTGTGCGTGCAGATCCACAGAGAACGGCTGATTTCTGAAGCTCTGTCCATGTGGTGGTGTAAAACCGACGCTGTGAGCTTCAGCTCCATGGTGTTGAATAATCCATGAATTGATCTGTGTTTAAAGTACGCACAGCGATGTATGGATGACGTTATACAATGCATCTCAAAGCCAAGTGTGTATCTAGGTCACTACCATGTGGATTCAGAATCCAATTCTAGCTTGATACTGACAACTACACGCAGCTTACAGTTCATTGGTTACTGCTTTTAGTAGTATTTGGAACAGTACAGATAATAATAAAGGTAATAATAGATGTTTCAGATAGTAGATGCTCATTTTGAATCTGTTGATGTTGGACAATTAATTGGGGTTTCAGAATAATGTAAACAGAATAAAGCATGGTACTGTGTTTGATTACATGTTGAAGGCTCATAAACCAATGTTTTTGTTTCTTTGGAGCAACCTATTCTTCTCTTTCTTCTTCTTCTTCTTATTGTATAGTCATGCTAATATGTTGTGGAAAATTGTGCAAGCATGAAAATTACACACTGATTTAAAATATATACTTGTGTGTGTATAATGTGTGTACAAGCAAAATGACACGAGTAGCAGTGTGATAGTGCCTTAGTGTCCCACCAGTGACAATATACAGCCATATCACACTACTACTAGTGCAATATTGCATTTATACCACAGTTTGGCAACAGAATCATGTATTTAAAAAAGAAAATCAAACACGGAGTGTCTCAAAAACCCTTTTGTAAGAGGAATCATTTTCTCTGCCGCCATACATTCAGCTGACGTCAGAACAGCAGAAACCCTTGCTAATTCACAAACGTCACTTTAGAGCTAGTGTTTGAATGATTCTCTAGCATAATGTATAAAGTGATGATAAAACGGGTGATTTTGCTCACATTTTAAGATTATAATGCTGAACAGCATGAAATTCCATCAGTCTACAGAGATTTCCCAGTATTTCTCTGTTCTAAATGGGATTTCACAGTAATTGAGCCCTGAAAAAGCCAGAGCAAAGCAAACACTAGCAGATTACTATGGTATAAATACAGCACTACAACATACAAAAGAGAGAGATCGACTTAGAATGTCACTTACCTGTTTTTTTACTGATTTGATCAGCTGTAGTTGTAGTCTCCTCTAAGGGCTTATTATGCGGTTTCTGTGGCGGAACGTCAACCGTCTTTGCTCTGCTAAGCATGACAGGTTGATGGCCACCAACGTGCTCTGATATTTTTCAATATTTAAAATAGCCACTATCCACCAACAACTACATTCTTGCCTAAAAAAAGCCTCAAAAGTACATTATGTTGTCCAACAGCTGCAATGTTTGTCAAACTGTAGTAAGTTTATTGATCTGCTGTCATTCTATGTGGGCGGAGTAATACATTAGAGTGAAGAGGCTGTACTGATATTGCAGAATATTGCACGGCTATCAACCAATTAGATTCGAGAACCAGACTAAACTGTTGCATGTATATATATATCCATAATATATATATCATAATACATATATATCCATATATGTCCATAATAAATTAATAATAGTTGTTATTGTTATTAAAACTAATATTATTATTAATAATACAAATTATTATTATTATTATTATTATTATTATTATTATTATTATATAATCATGTTAATATTTTGTGGAAAATTGTGCAAGCATAAAAGGTGATCTTAAAACAATTATTTAGAAAAATGTTTTATTATTATTATTATTATTATTATCATATTAAAAAAATAATTGTATTCCCTTTTATATACACTGCCCAATCAGGCATTCCTATTAATGTGTGATTATTTAATTTGTGTGTGTGTGTGTGTGTGTGTGTGTGTGTGTGTGTGTGTGTGTGTGTGTGTGTGTGTGTGTGTGTGTGTGTGTGTGTGTGTGTGTGTGTGTGTGGGGGTATTATTGTGTTGTCTTCTGACTGTCTTTTCAGTTGATTTGAGAAAATGTTCACCACTGTTATCACTGTTATATTTATTAACAGTCCTTCCCCAAAGTACACTCTCTTTTAATAAATGTATAGAATAACCAAATGTTCCATCTACTAAAACATGTATGCATACTTGGGGTTTCAAATCGGTATAAAGAGGCTGTTGAGTGTAAGCGTTGTTAGTGTAGCCCAAATAGTGCTGGTGAAATGATTGTGTGCGTAAAATGATTCTGTATCTGCCTTCTTGTCTCTATCTCTCTAGTGGCAGCAGTGGGGGAAGCGGCAGTCGAGAGAACAGCGGCAGCAGCAGCATCGGCATTCCCATCGCTGTGCCCACTCCCTCCATTCCCAACTCAATCCCAGGTGAGCTGCAGCCCAAAAATACAGCCCAGTCCTACAGGTTCCCACACTCCGCACATGTGGGTATCTCCTGTTCTCCAGAGTGAGAAGTGGAGCAGGTTTAGTTGTACTGCAGCTATCATGGCCTGGTTTTTCCAGCTGGAGGTTTGCTAAAGTAGGCCATCATACAGCACAAGGGCAGGTGGAAAGAGGGAGAAAGCAGGGATCTCTTAAGGGTGGTCCACCACCTGAGGAGAACGGATAAATTTATATCAAAAAGAGGGCGCTGTCATGTTCTCCTCTAAAATACCTGCTGGAGACAAGAGGAGAAACATTACCTCCTTTCTGAATCCTTACTGTCGCCATAGCAACACTGCATCAGCAACACTGATTTCCTTTTTCTCGATTGAGGTTATTCACAGGAGTTTTGAATCCCACACCTCTGCCCTTTATCCCCTCTTTTGTGTGTTATCCTTATTTATTGCGTGTTTGTAAAATTAAATGTAAAGGTTCTTGGTTTTGATGAAGGCTTCCAAGATCTAGTGAGCTACCTACCTAGGCATTTTTAGGCACCTTAAAAGGATGTTTCAGCTAAAAATGACAAATTAATCACCATTTACTCACCTATCACTTGTTCCAAACCAGTTTGAATCATTCATTCATTTTCCTTCGGCTTAGTCTCTATTTCAGAGGTTGCAACCGTGGAATGAATCTCCAACTATCCCAGCATTTTTTTTTACACAGCGGATGCCCTTCCAGCTGCAACTCAGAATTGGGAAACACCCATACACATTCATTCACACACACACACACACACACACTAGTACACTTTGGCCAATTTAGTCTATTCAGTTCACCTATAGTGCATGTCTTTGGACTGTGGGGGTAACCGGAGCACCCAGAGTAAACCCACGCGAACACAGGAAGAACATGCAAACTCCACTGGCCCTGCTAGGACTCGAACCAGTGACCTTCTTGCTGTGAGGTGACAGTGCTAACCCTGGCTTGACATTAACACTCGCCAACCCGCAAAAATCGGGTAGATTTCAGTGGTGGCGGGTAAGACAGACACTCCCACTAGCCCCTTTAGCTGGTTGAAAATAACTTTCCCGGATAATAATTCTTAAAAGCAGGGTTCCACTATAAGGATGGCCTAATATCCATGCAAAGGCGATCTTAGAATTAAGAAGCAACCTGACTGACAAAAATGATTTAATTTGGGCAAGCAATAGAAAGCAGGTGAATACCTAATGAGAGGATAATCACTCGCGCTAACTGCTGAGGTGATGCCCGCGACTGTTTAAATCCCAAAAGTTTTCTAAAGGCCTTTCCTAAATCAAGTCGTCTAATCCGAATCTTTTACAATGAGTTTACTATAGTTACAATGGTCTCAAACTCAATTCCTGGAGGGACGCAGCTCTGCACAGTGTAGCTCCAACCAGCTGAACCTGCTAGTAGTCTTGAAGACTTTCATTAGTTGGATCAGCTGTGTTTGATTAGGGTTGGAGCAAAACTGTGCAGAGCTGCAGCCCCCCATGCATCAAGTTAGAGACCTATGGTTTAGAACAGGGATCACCAAACTTGTTCCTGGAGGTCTGTTGTTCTGCAGATTGTAGCTCCATCCCTAATCAAACACAACAAGCTAATCAAGGTCTTACTAGGTATACTTGAAACACCCAGGCAGGTGCGTTGAGGCAAGTTGAAGCTAAACCCTGCAGGGACACCAGACCTCAAGTAACGAGATTGGTGACCCCTGGTTTAGAACAACGTGTAAGGAAACAACTACTACATAAGCATGAAACTTCTGCTGGACAATAAGAAGTTGCTGGCCATTTCAGCATCATTCACATATGAGGATACAAGATGGTTAGGATGCTGACTTCAAAGGTATCTGCTTACGTCGAGGGTATGGTAGCTCTCTAGGTTTTGCGAACATATTTATGCCATGTTAATGAATGAAAGACCTTCAAGGTGTGTCTTTTCTTATATGACGGTTCTGACCTGCAGCCACACCCTCATGGGCTCCTCCCCCTGGAGCTCCTCCCCCAGCTCCTCCTCCTCCACCCCCCCTCCCGGGCCTGGGCCCACCAATGCCAGCTGCTGCTATAGGTGAGCCCCTCCCCCGATCCTATTGCCACTCCGCCAAAAACAGCGTTACCGTCCCACTGCCAACATGTTCGTCTGCTGGGCTTCAAAGCGGATCACTTCTTTGAATGGTGGTGGTAGTGATTATTTTGGGTGGTGGCTTTGTGCTTCAGTTTAAATCAGTTTGCTTTGAGGAAGTCTCTGAACTACCCGAGAACATAAAGGTTCATTAATTTATCAAGGGGCGGTTATTAGGGGTGTATGATAAGGGTCGAGATTCTTTAATCATGAAAGCTGTTCACATTCAGGATGCTTATTATTGCTTCTTGATGTTTCAGTAGCTTTAGAAGTTTACACCACATATAATGATGAAAAGGAATAGCACTGCGATGACTTTCAGAATGATTGATGATGATTGACAAAAACAGCTAATTACAATTCAGCCGACTTAAACATTTAAAGTGGCAGACTACAAAATTTCAGCTTGGTGTGATAAATTGGCCATCCATTTAACGTTCTTGATATGAGCAGGCCAAAATATGCAATCACTTTTTAAGGCAAAATAATTCTTAAACATGCAAAATTGTCACGGCAACAAAAAGCTGTTTGGTTTTATAAGCATTGCTACACTGTTGAAAATGGTCAATGAAAGAACAATATGTATTTTTTTCTTATTAAAATATATAAAAACCAATAGAAGAGTGTTGTATATTTTGCTGACTTATGTCATATTCCCAAATCTACTGACGAATGTTCGAATTTAGAGAAATAACTAGTGACAGATTGATCAGAATGACACACTTGTTTTCCAGATTAGTTTGATTGAAAACAGGAAATCCCCATAAATGCTTGACTATGTTGTGTGTTTTATTAGACCGCACATAGCTGCATTATGACAGAACCCTAAAATCTAATTAGAAAGATAAATCAATGGAAAAACAAGTGGTCCGCTGTGGTGTAATAAAGGCTCTGCTGCCTTCCATGTTGTGTTCGCAATCTGGTTTCGCTCTCAGTCTTACTCTGCTTCATACTACCATAGTAAGTGTTGAATATATTAGCTCATCTATGAACATGATTTTTGTAGGATGTAATCAAAATGACAAATCCAATGATTCCACACTTGGTCACTGCATCATTAAAATTCGCCTTTGTTTGTGATGAATATGCACCCTCTAGTGGTGTTGTTAAATACTGCGCCTTTATTATGACTACACTTTTCAATGCTGGGATACAGCTGCTTGTAGAGACCAAAATGTCATCACTAACCACCCTCAAAAATTTAGCATTGTGTTTTTAGTGAGTGTCAGAGACTTCCTCACTGCTGGTTCTATGAAAGATTGCTTTCTTTCTGATTTGCATGCTTCCAGAATTGTGTCGCCAATTGATTGGATGTGATTTATTATGCAACATCTGGCTTTCAAATATGATTAACTTGACATTGTTTATCTCAAATATAAGCCATTAACTGTGTGCTTTATATTTAAGTCTGATAAAACCATCTATGTATGTAAAATGTAACTTGCATTATTAGAACAGGGATTTTTCAGTAGCTCCATCAGGACCCAGTTGTAATGAGATGTTTGAATTGTGTTTATACTGGATGTCACCGGTGCCACAGTGATGTTTGTCCATATTGTTTGTTGTTCTCTTGATTCCGGACATCACTATCAGGGTCTCTCTAGGGTTTCCCGGTTATCTCCCACTGTCAACAGGAAACGTCCCTATGGAGGAAATCCCATCTGCCCTGGCAGTGTAAACACACACATGGGCTATATTACAACTACAGCTCACATAAACAGCCCCAAAACATGCTGCTGTTTCTCAGGGTCTTTTCGAACTTTTTCTAACTTTATTGCAGGTCCTTTTACATGGTTATATTGTTATTGTGGTTACAATGAAAGTAAATTCTTGTGCTTTTATTTCTTTCTTTTCTGATGTTTTCTTTAAGAGTCTGGTGAAGCATGTCCAAGTAATATTTAATTCTGAAATCGATATAATATAATATAATATAATATAATATAATATAATATAATATAATATAATATAATATAATATAATATAATATAATATAATATAATATAATATAATATAAAGCTAAAATATAATACAATACAATATAATATATAATAATATAATGTAAAGCTAAAGTATAATATAATATAAAATAATATAAAGCTAAAATATAATATAATATAATAAAATGTAATATAATATGCTAAAATATAATATAATAAAAAATAATGTAATGTATTGTATGTAGTATTATTTAATATAAAGCTTGAATATAATATAGTATTTAATAAAATAATGTAACATATTATAATATAACATTAAGCTAAAGTATAATATAATGTAATCAAACATAATATAATATAAAGCTAAAATTTTATATAATATAATATAATATATTTTAATATAGTATAAAATTCATTTTTCATTTTCATTCATTAATATAGTATAAAGTTCATTCCGCTGTGGCGACCCCAGATTAATTAAGGGACTAAGCTGAAAAGAAAATGAATGAATTAATAAATCTAAAATATAATATACTATAAAGCTAAATTATAATAAAATATAAAAATTTATTGAACTTTTATTTGATTTTTTAGCATTATTCTGAAATATTTTTATTAGATTATTGATACTGTAATAAGGTACAACATTCTTTACTGTGTAAAAGTAAAAACTGCTTCAGTAATTTGTTTAAATTTAAGTTATTATTTAATTTAATAAATACATTGATTTATAAAAATGTTTTAAACAGTATTGAAGTTTGCCCATAGCACATATTTGAAAGGAAATATATTTTAAATGTAGCAATTATGCCATTATGGGAAATAATTAAATAAATAATAATCATGATCATAATAATAAACACAGCAACAATCATAATCATAATAAATAAAATCAAAATGAAATTAATGGATTTGTTTTTGCCTAAAGTGTGAATGTTTTAGTTAAATTACAAAATTATATAAATTATAAAATGTATTAATTATATTTAATAGTAAAATTGCATATTACAAAATGAACTATGCAGAACATAAGTGAAGGAAATAAAAATAAATACTTGAAACCTGTATCAAATCTATATAAATAATGAATAAATCTGTATTTTATTAACTGTGTGATGTTTTACTTTAGAATTAGAATTGTGCCGGACATGTTTCATTAAATTCACTCTACTTTCTATTATTACTATCTATTACTATCTTCTATCTATTATTGCCAGTCTGTTTTTACTTACATTTTTGAAAACTTTTCTTGCTTGCCTGGTGTGTCTATCATTGACTGTCCTCTCCTGGTTTTTTTCTCATCTCTCTGCACCTTCTCCTCTGATCGCTATCAGCTGTTGCCGCTGGGCCAGGTCTCGGCCCGATTCCCATGTCGCAGTTCGGCACGATATCCCGACAGGTCTCCCGACACAACTCCAGCAACTCGTCCGTCTCCATGGTCTCTGCCACAGGCACATACCGCCGAGCGCCGTCTGTCTCCTCACAGTTCTCCCTGCAGCAGCCGCACATTAACGGCGGAACGCCTGCAAGTAAGACATGGAGAACACTGAACAAACATTCAAGATGATCATGGTAAAAAGTATATAGTATATATACTTTATTTAGAAGTACTGGTACTCTGGTGCGCTTTCTTTGCGGCTCAGCTCACAGTTGATGCTGCAAAATTTGTGCGATTTAGGTTTTAGTTAGCCCGATCCTAAGAGAAAACGTAACTATTTTACGTAGTCTCTGAAAAGTGGCTAATTCGTACAAATTCATACGACTTAATTGTATTAAAACGCACGTTTATTATTTTTTTTAAAGGATGCGTGCCCTCAAATACCAGCCCTAACCCTACCCCTCATTGGGGATAAGCGAATCGTACTAAATTTTACGAATAAGATCGCACAACTAAAAACGCATTGGTCAATAATCAAGCAGTTATGAAATGTCGGGAGATCTTATTGGTTTTAGTTTAAAGATCAATAATTCAGTTCTCGAGTGTTATTTGTGTATCTTTCTTAATATGTTCTTGGGTTTCACTTGGGATCAGCTTACTATTTATAGCAAATAACATTAAAACACAATTTAAGACAATCGAATGTAAGACAGGGATAACACTGAACAAACGTACATAAAAAATGCAATAGTATCTGGAGTAGCATTGTCAAAAGTACTGATATTCTGGTGCGATTTCTTAGCGGCACAGTTCACAATAATTCTGCAAACTCAAGCGAAAACGTAAATATTTTATGTATTGTCGGAAACATGGCTAATTCGTACAAATTCAATTGTATGACAACTTAATTTTTAAAGGAGATGTGCCCTCAAACTCCACCCTAACCCTACCCCTCATTGGAGGATGAGCAAAATGGTACTAAAATGTTCGAATAAGATTGTATAAACGAAAACGAATTAGCCACTAAATCAAGAAGTTACGAATTGTCAAGAGATTGCATTAGTTTCAGTTTATTAAAGTAGGAATTCTCGAGTGTTGTTTATGTCTCTTTCGTAATGCGCAAATGCAAAATGTTTTTTCTATGTTCTTGCGTTTCGATGGATCGGTTAACTTTAGGTTTCAGTTAGCTTGATCTTAGTGAAAACATAACTATTTTACATATTGTCGGAAAAGTGGCTAATTTGTACAAACTCATATGATTTAATTTGTATGAAAACGTACATTTTGTAAAATTAGGCATGCCTTTAAACCCCGCCCATAGCCCTAACCCCTCATTGGAGAATGAGCAAATCTTACTAAAATGTTAATTAAAGCTGTGGCATTATTTATTTTTTATTTCTTTGTTATTGCATTTCTAGTGGTTAACTAGTTATCACAAATAACGTAAAAATACCATCTATTACAACAAAATAAAGAGTATCTAAAGTGAAAATAAAATTCTCAAGGCACAAATTTCTTTCTTAGTGTTTGTTTTTTTTCCTTTCTAGTGCCCTATGCTAATATAATATATATGCTAATATATATTATATAATATATAATATGCTAACCCATGCCCCTTTAACCAGTAGTTTGCTGCAAGTGAAAGATAAAAGGAGTAGACCTCGACCCCATCTCAATAATTATTCCATTTCAGTTGGAAATGTGCCATAATTAATAATGGAAAAAAAAATCTGTAGAAACTTCATGTGGATCTAAGACATGTTTAAAAATTGTTGTTTTAATTAAAGCTGTGGCAATATTTCACCGCAATATAGTATCTTTTTTAAGATATCGTATCGCAATTAGAATTCCAGTATCATGACAACACTCGTCTGTAGATCCTGTAGACTTGACATCCTGATTCCATTAAAACTGAAATTCTCGTCAAAGCATCATAAAAGCCAGATATTTTTAGGCATGATGAAGGGAACAGTGCGTCTCTTCCCACAGGTGTGTGTTCGTAATGTCATTAAGAGCGGAAAAGCTTTGGATATGCGCGGGCTCGTGGCCACCTGTTTATGAATGGAGATTTATTGTCATCTACGCATTAAAGCTGGGATTATAAATGGCACTGTCAGATGTCTATGAGCATTATAGTGAATGACGACATCAGACGTGAATGAGAGAGTGTTAATGAAACATACGTCATTCATGCATTCTGGGAAAAAGACCTTAGTCATTTCAACAAACTGGATCTGTTTGTCTGAAGCATTTTATTATTTATGTTAAATCAAGCTACCCTTTAAAAAAATAGCAAAATGATAAAGTTAAAGGTGCTGTATGTAAGTTTTTGAGCCTTCTTAAAGCAAAAAAATACCATAATATGTTTGCAGATGTTTAAGAAACAAGCTAAGTACATTCTTGTTTATCTAAAAAAAAACATTTTCAGATATTCTGCTTTGAAAATGTTCGTTACGTGCCCCAACGTCTGTCTTGGTTCTTTTAACCCGCCCACTGCCAGTTATATATAATTATATTTAAGCACTTCGGGTTGCCTTGTTGAAAAAACGCGTATATCATTCATTCAGTCAGAAAGCCTCTTAAAGTATGCGTCCGTGACCGAAATGCGACCTCCGATGGACAGTAGCAGCCTCCGAAATGAGATGCAGATTCAGAGTTCCACTTGAGGAGGTTTTTAATTATCAAGCAATATAAATATTACGAACGTTAACATTAGGTGAACAGGTTATACTGTAAACCCATGTCCTACGTGACGATATTTGCAGTGATACACAATTTGGCTGTTTCCACCAAAACGGTTTTAAACAATTAAAAACTGATTTCACTCTAGCCGAAATAAAACAAGTAAGACTTTCTCCAAAAGAAAAAAATACTATTGGAAATACTGTGAAAATTTCCTTGCCCTATTAAACATCATTTGGGAAATATTTAAAAAAGAAATTCTCAGGGGGTCTATTAATTTTGACTTTAACTGTACATACAGTATGTACATTATATATGTCGTCTATCTCTTCTATTTGATTACTTTCTGCACTTTTATTATATGGGACTGATGTGTTTCTCTTCCTGCATTTCTTCTTCTCGCTCTCTTTATCTGTGTGTGTGTGTTCAGTGTCTATGGCTCCTCCTCCTCCACCTATGCCTCAGCTCACACCACAGATTCCCCTCACAGGCTTTGTGGCTCGAGTTCAGGAGAACAGTAAGTCTGACAGCCAGGTTTCTCCAACGTTTCACCCCCCCGCCCTCCCCTCGCATGTGTTTTATGTGCTAGAAGTTTAGCGCATGCCGTCTTCATCACCATCCCCATCCGCGTGTTTGTGTTCGTTCATTCTGCAGGTCATCGAGGTCACATTTGTTTCATTGTTACTTCTCAAACAATACAGTAGAGCAGATCCAAATAAAGCCGTCCGCAGCGCCTAAAGCCAGAGGTTTCTGAAAGCGGAAAGTGTGTCACACATTTACATAAGTGTGCATTGCTTTATGTAAGCTAAAAGAGGCTTACTAGGCTCTTTGGGGCAAGATTTCAGCGTTTTGTACTTGAAAGGCACTCACTGTTGTTGTTTTAGTTCTACATTATTGGGATTTAATCTAGGGCATATTCAGTGTCTTATAGATTTCCTTGTGTGCTTAAATCTGATTATTCATATATCCGATTGGAATCTGATCTAAACCAACTGATCTGAGATCTGTTTTGTGTTCTGTGGCGCTCTGAATATTACACTAAAAATGCTGGGTTACACACAAACGACTTGTGTTGGGTTAACATGAAGGAATTAAGTTAACTTATTAGTCTTTACAAATTGTACGTGTCATTACAGTGGAAAAGCCCCGCCCATTAGTAACAATCTCTCTCTCATTAGCATAGAACATCAGTTTTGTTTTTGAATCTGCCACTATGCTGACACATAGGCATTTGTAGCTCTGCCCTCTTTTGAAAAGAGCCTAATCTCAATTGAATTTTAAACAACAGTCACCAAAGTGGCATAATTAGGATCAACACTTAAAAGGGGCATCTTTAAAGATTTATAAAACATTATTTGTGTGGTATTTTGAGCTGAAATCTCAAATATACACTCTAGGGACTTATTTTACATATTAAAAATGGGGCATATTAGGGCCACTTGAAATGTCCTTTCCTCAATTGTTAGATTTTATGTAAGCTAAAAGAGGCTTACTAGGCTCTTTGGGGCAAGATTTCAGCGTTTTGTACTTGAAAGGCACTCGTTGTTTTAATTCTACATTATTGGGATTTAATCTAGGGCATATTCAGTGTCTTATAGATTTCCTTATGTGCTTAAATCTGAATATTCATATATTCGATTGGAATCTGATCTAAACCAACGGATCTGAGATCTGTTTTGTGTTCTGTGGCGCTTTGACTTTCACACTGTAAAAAATGTTGGGTTCCACACAAACGATTTGTGTTGGGATAACGTGTAGGAATTGTTTACTTAATCTTTACAAATTGAAGTGGATTGAACATATAAGTTAAGTAAAAAACTCAAGAATTGTGTTATTTCAGCTCATTTTAAATAAGTAGATGAGCTAACAGCAAATGTTGTTTTTTGAGTGTACCGCACATCTGAATTTGCTGAAATATCCTCAAACTAGGGCTGCACAATATATCGCAAAAGTATTGTTATCGAGATAATGGTATATCTAATATATGTTGCAGACGTGATAAATGACATTTATTTTATGTATTGTTTGTTTATGTAAATTTGACCAATCAGATGGGGCCCTCTCTACCCAGTAGTTGCTGTTCTGCTTTTGGCCGGAGTGGCTCAAAGGTGAACTCAAGACGTCAAAACGATAGAAGCAAATGGCAACAGCCAAATTAGATTCAGAATATCTGCTGAGGTTTTCGCTAATTCATAGTGTTTTAAAGAAGATCTGTTATGCAAAAATCACTTTTAAAAGGGGTTTAAACACATTTGTTTGGCAGCAGTCTGTGAATATAAGCAGCTTCTTATGGTAAAAATGTATTAGTTTTATTTTTTATAATCACACTTGATAAAAACAGAAACACTTTGATTGACATTCTTCCTTTGTACGTGTCATCAGAGGGGAAAAGCCCCGCCCACTAGTATCAATCTCTCTCTCATTAGCATAGAACATCAGTTTTGTTTTTGAATCTGCCACTATGCTGACACATAGGCATTTGTAGCTCCGCCCTCTTTTAAAAACAGCGCATCATCGATGACGTAAACGTGCTCAGGCTCTGATGCAATGTGAGTGCGGGAGACAGGAGTGGGGACAAGCGAGCTTCAAGGCAACTGTACATAGTGTGATTACACCCTAACTGTACAAAAAAAGCACATGATTGTTTTTTTTCGTGGTATTGAAAGCTCAAAGTAGAAAACACTATGGTTGAAAGTGGACAAAAGACTTTTACCCCATTTCAGTGCCAGATTTGAACAGAGTTGTGTCTTTACCTGTGATCCGATTGATAGTATAAACATTACATCAGTCACATTCGGCCTACATCACTGATTCCGTCACATCCATGTTCGCCCTTCTTGCCATTCGCATGTTAAGCTGAATAAACAAGCTTACTTGCGTGCGTAATCAGAAAAAGCTGTGCACTGCAGCACACAATGACAAAACATATAGATTAGTTGAATCAAAAAGGAGTTCAAGTTGACCATGACAAGAAATAATATAGATCGCCCCACAAAACTCATTAAAACGAAAGTAACAAGGTTGTGAGTTATCTCCCATCTATGTCCACATCATCTCTAGTTTAAGTGTATAGCATGTATTCTATGTAGTGTGTGTCCTGTGTAGTATACCAAGACTTACATAAGTCCTCTTTTGCATGCATTACCTCTGACATCTGGTAAGTATTCATTCATATCTCCAGCAACACCGCCAGCATCTCCATCACCCATGATTGTCTCTGTTGTTCATCGTAGTTGCCGTGATTTGCATGTGCACTAACCAGTCTGCATGAGCATGTTGATCCGCTGGATGTGTGTATATATATGTGTGAAGCTGATGATGTTTGTGTGTTGGATGCTCAGTTGCAGATACTCCGACTCCTCCCCCTCCACCTCCTCCTGAAGACATGGTCATATTTGACGAGGCTCCTCCTCCTCCTCCACCTCCACCTGCAGACTATGAAGACGAAGAGGCTGCAATAGTGCACTACAGCGACCCCTACGCTGATGGAGACCCTCAGTGGGCACCTAAGTCCTACGCTGAGAAGGGTGAGGATTACTTTTCAGCGTTTCTCATTTGTCTTCATTAGAGACTAGCACTGAAACCCTGTTGTAATTGTTAGATGAGATCACTATTTTGCCTTAAAATTGATTAGGCAGACTAAACCGTAAGTGGGAGAGACTTAAAACTTTGCCAGATGGTAGTACTCACCCCTGTCTACCATGCCACCAAGGCTTGCCCTTATTGTCCTGATGGTGGCGCTACAGCAGCCAAACTCCTAAACGGCCTAAAATGATCACTTCTTTTATGCTAATGGTCTAATCAGATTCAATTCACTATGCTAAGCTAAGCTAAGCTAAAAGGTTTTTAGTCAGAACAAGAAATCAGCTAAATGGATTGAATGGATTTAAGCCTAAAACTAAATTTAAGCCAGACTCTAATATTGCCTTATATAACTGGGATCCAATCCAAAATTATTTATGAACATCAATATATATTATAATAGTGTTATTGTTTTTTTATTAAGAACAAAACACTTTTTGATTAGTATATCATTTTAGTTTTAGGTTTTGTAAGCTGTTGTATTTTTATAAATGTTGCTTTTTAATATACAGTCAAGCAAGAAATTATAGCAATGGCAAATTCAGTCTTCATTGAGCTCAAACCAACCTTTTATGTAAAAAGGCTAAAGTCTTCTAACTCTAGTCTTCTAGAGTTAAACAGCTGACTTAAACCATTTTTGAATCCATTTAACTGATTAGTTCATGCAACTACAGAAGATTCAAGCTTTAAATATGAAAATTATATATTTTTTTAAAAAGAAAATTAAACAAACTGCTAATGGTCTAATCCAATTCAATTCATTATGCTAAGCTAAGCTAAAAGTGACTCCATCAGATCAAGAAATCTGGAGTGGATTATAAAATGGTTCAAGTAACTGTTTAACTCTAGGAGATTTGTATAATGAAACTTGTTCATAAAAGTGGAGGGTTCCTTAAACAGAAATTGATTGACCTGAGGTGGCGCTACAGCAGCCAAAACACACAATCACAAATATGCCTCAACGGCCTGCTGTTGACTTTAGTATTGTGTTGTATTACCAGGATCCAATCCAAAGTTTTTATGAACATCAGTATATATTATAATAGTGTTTATTGCTCTTTTATTAATACTTTTTGATTAATATATCATCATTTTAGTTTTAGCTTTTGTAAGCTGTTGTGTTTTTATAATCACTTATAAAATCACTTGTTTTTATAGTCACTTTTTAATATAATCAAGCAAATTCAGTTCCCACTGAGCTCTTTTGTTTTAGCCATGACTGTCCACAAACCAGTTGTTATGGAGTTGGCTCATTTTACAAGTCTCCTAGAGTTAAACAGTTGACTTGAACCGTTTTTGAAACAACTTAACCGATTAGTTCATACAGAAGATTCGAGCTTTAAATAGGAAAATGATCAGCTTAAAAAATGTAAACAAATTGCTAATGATCTAATTCAATTCATTATGCTAAGCTAAGCTAAAAGTGACCCTGGCAGATCAAGAAATCTGAAACGGATTACAAAATGGTTCAAGTTTACTGTTTAACTGTAGGAGATTTGCAAAATAAGCCTGTTTCATAAAATTGGAGACTCTAATATTGTCTTATATTACTGGAATCCAATCTATAGATCTACGAAGACTGTATAATGTATACTATAATAGTGTCTATATAGTGAATATACTATAATCAGATAGAGTAGCTCAGCGCTTTTGATCTTCCTCTGAACTGATCTTCCTCTGTCTAGTGGTGGCCATCTACGATTACACCAAGGACAAGGACGATGAACTGTCCTTCATAGAAGGAGCCATAATCTACATCATCAAGAAGAACGATGACGGCTGGTTCGAGGGGGTTTGTAACGGCGTCACAGGCCTCTTTCCGGGAAACTACGTCGAGTCCATCATGCACTACGCCGACTGAAGAAAAACCAACACAAACAATCAGATCTCAACCAAATGGTGAAAATCTCCGAACTTTACTTTTTTGCGGTGACGGGTGGATCTGGGCAAAATAATCTGAGGAAGTCAGTGTGTATATAAAATAAAGCAGTTCTAGTGAATGTCAATCAGCAGTCGATACAACGCGTGAACATGTAAAGTAGATGATTGTCTTTTGCTTTTACGACACTTCCAACTAAAAGTCCACTGTTGATTTGATTTTCTTGTTTTGGATGCGAAAAAAAAAAAAATCGATCATGTTAGAAACTTAATTCATTAGCGTTTTATCTTAAAGCATCACACGTCATTGCCCCTCAATAAAGTGTATCAAAATCTTAACGTAAAGCATGCATACACGATTTTAATATGTATTGTAACCTAAACGTTAAATTCCATTCTGCTTCCATCTTTGTATTATTTACAGTTCACTTCCATTTTTGTTTTCGTTTAAATATAGACATTTGTAGACTACTTATTTTTATGATCTAATTTTTTTAGTTTGTTGTTAATATAAAAGTCGTGATTTTTTTATTTGGGTAATGAATGCAAAGCACAGGACATTTGTTTAAATTTGTTTTCGCCATCGACTCTTCGTCTGTTTTTTAGTTGATATCACAACGATTAAGTATTTGCTACGATGAACAAATTTAAACTTTACTTAGATGGTAGGAAGCTTGTTTATGCCACAGAATATATATACAAAAATAAGAAATTTGTACATTCCTGTTTATACTTCTAAAAATTTGATTTGTTAAATTTGCGAAAGTTGTCTACCATTGTCAACAACTGGAAAATCGTTTGGGAAAATTTGTGAGAATTGTGCCAAAAATGTAATTCTGGGTCTGTATACATACATACATACATACACACACACACACACACACACACACACATATATATATATATATATATATATATATATATATATATATATATATATATGTGTGTGTGTGTGTGTGTGTGTGTGTGTGTGTGTATATATATATATATATATATATAAATATAAAAATAGAGCCAGAATTACATTTTCGGCACAATTCTCACAAATTTTTTAAACAATTTTCCAGTTGTCGACGATGGTAGACAACTTTCGCAAATTTAACAAATCAAAATCTTTAGAAGTTTAAACAGAAATGTACAAATGTTTTTTTAAAATTTGCTAAAGTTGCATACTATTGTCGACAACTGAGAATCCGTCACAATTTTTTCCAAGTAATTGTCAATATCGCACAACTTTTTTCCCTCAGAAAAAAGTTTTTGCATATTGCTTTTAAATATAAACTATAGACAATTTTAATTTTAAACTATATATAAAAAATTACGCAGAACTACGTTGAAAATGTCAACTGCAAGATGTAAACAAAATGGCATTTGTAAGAAAAAGTCAAAATTGTACGATTTTATTTTATTTTTGTACATTTCTTGCAGTTATGATTACATTGCACAATTCGACCTTTCAAATTCATGATTTTAAGGTAAATAAATCATAATTGTCTCATGAATTTTAAAAATAAGCTTTTTTTTTTCGCCTGAGTTTTGTCAAAATCTGTCTTCTCCAAATTGTGATTTTAAAAATTCGGAATATTGAGCGAAAATTTGTCTTTTTTTAATGCTGTGGCAGAAACAGGCTTTCATAAGATAGCTTTAATGTGTTGGCTGTAAGGTGTCTAAAGGTCTGTAATCCGTTACAAATCACTTTTTTCTTTTCCCTGCCAAAATAAAATTACAATGCTGGATTAGATGAGTTTTTTCTTATGTCATGGTCTGTAACGAGTAACTGCCGTGATGTCATTTTTACAGTCCAGAGATCAATCCTGCAGTGTGAAGAATGAACTGAGGAGCATCAGTATAACAGGCTTGAGATCTGAAGCGCTTTAGTTACTCAGCTCAGGTCTGGCATCAAGTCTTTTTTTTTTAATTTTCCATTCACATGTTTTAGCAGCCGTACTGTACGCGATTACAGAGATTCCATTCAACCGTCTGACCACTGTCAGTCATTTCAGGAGTTTAAAGCTAATGCCTTCAGACTTTTTTTTTAGTCGTCATATTGAGATATTGAAGTGTTCCAACTGAATTCCATATCTGTGCTGAAGCTCGTCTCAGCCCAGAATTTGTATTTATAATGTTAATTAAAAATGTAATTGTACAGTCTTTTATAATAAATCATTCTATGTATATTGTGTTTGTTTCAATTTTATTTGTGGTTTCACTTTTTTGTTTCATGAAGAGCTGAATTTAGATATAGCCTACTGTGATTTCAATAACAGAAGTTAATATTTATAAATATTACAATATTCTTTTATTCATTTTTGTAAGTCCCTGAAGGATTTGGAGGTTCTACAACTCTTGGAGTTGTGTCAGCGCCCTTGACAAAGGTAACTTACACTTCTGTGATGGCACCATTAATGCTGAAAAGTACATAGACACATTGAAGCACAATATGCAGCTTCTTTTCCAATATGCAGCTGATTCAGTCGTTGCTTGGGAGGGGGGGGCCATAGATATATAAACTAGATATTGCATACAGACCCTGAACATGCATCAATAGCGCCGCCACATTTGTACAGTGCTCGACAATGTTACTGAAGATGCTGGACTTGTCTACGGGTGTAGTAACAAGCAAATAAAGAAAACAAAGCACAAAGGCAGAACATCTCATAGGTAAGATTTCGTTTTTTACGTTTTTATATGTTACGAACTTTGGTGCTAAACATGTAACATTATTGATAATAGTACAGTCTCTACTGCACTGACCATGAGGCAAAGTTGCAGCAACCTGCACTAAAAACTGGGCTTATGCTAGTTTTGTTGAATAAAATCAGCAAACAATGCAAAAGAAATATGACAAGACGCTGCGCTGCCAGAAACTTGTATTATTGTCGACTCAGTGAAGGAGTCGTTCATAACGGGGATTCAATCAAAAACGAATCGCTCCCTCTGACAGAATGAGAAGTGAAAGCAGGGGAGGGGGTGTGTTTTAGAACATGGATTAGACCAAATTTAACAAGGAGGGTGGATAGTACATTTCCATACACACAAACACAAGCTTTTTGTCAGGAATGCTGATGCAATCACATATCCATCAATGTAGAAAAGTGATGTAAAATTATAATTTTCGTAATTTAAAACAAAAATATTTGCATACTGACCTCCGGAAAAACTCCCTATCATAGATATTTGTGTATATGTCTGGCTCTGGATGGCCACAGTCCTCCACTGCAGCTTGGTCCCGCATTCATTTCAAAGGAACACTACCCTGTACTAAAATGGCAGCTCTATTGACACATTCCTTCCAACAGACAACAACAGGGTAGGTAACATCTAATGTGTATATCTATGGCCGCGGACACCCGACATGCGGCGCCAGTGTGCGTATCCTGATAGAAATTATGTTTAGAATTCTAAAATGCATGACACCGAGCGGCGCATTCGGTGTGTGACTCCCTTTAGATGTGCTAGTAGGGAAAGAGTTCAAGGTATGGTTTATACAAAAATTAACATTTTCTTTAACATAACACAAGATATTATGAAGAACGTTGGGGAAAAAAGCTGCCATTAATATCTATTTATAAGAACAAAAAAATACTGACAATCAATGGCGGTTTTTAGCATATATTTTGTTTAGTTTGGAAGAAGTGTGTAAATGATGAGAGAAAAAATAGTTATTGGGTGAACAATCCCCTTAACGTTAAGTTTAAAATACAATTTAATAAATAAAAAGGTGACACTTTATTTTGATTGTTCATTTGAGTATTAGCAGACTGCTTAATATCTGCTGATACTGCTCCTTCAACAGACATTTAACTATAAGTAACTTTGCAAGTTCAGGTCAACTTAGAGTGCCTTCACACCTAGACTTTTGTTTCGGAACATATGTGCATATCGGCATATGTGAATCCAGCAATCGCACTCGGATCAGTGCCATATCAATCGGTCCGAGATCGCCTGAATGAGGTGGTCTCGGCCTGTTTGAAACGAACTCAGGAGTGAATCGATTGTAGTAAGAAAGCGATACGATCGCTTACGATAGGCATATATACGGCTATATGAAGAGAGAATTATGAGTAGGGTGGGAGGTCATTCCTTCCCATAAATGTGCGTTTCATGTAAAAGCCTATAATAAATAAGCCAACTGCTATGTATGAGAAAGTCTTACCTCTGATTTATACTTGGTTACAATATCTGTGGGTGTCATCATTCAAAATGAAAGCGCAGCTTTTCGCTTATGATGTCTTTATTGCTCATTAACATAAATTAAAATAAGGACGCATGACATCTGAGCGGGACTCTGCAAAATAAACTCTGAAACTCCGACCAATGTGATTAGAGTTTACTTGCACATGATTTATTTTAGCTCATTTGGTCAGTTTAGAAACTTTGCCATGTGAAAGCAAACCGCACCAAGAGCAAAAAGCAACAATGTAACAATTTTAATTCCTGTTTCGAAATCAACTGAAACGATTCACAGGTGTGAAAGCACCCTTACACTAACCCCAACCTCAACTGAACAGTCTACTTATAATCTAACGAGAACTAGTTTGCATGTAGATGCAATGTAACCTAAATTCAATAAACAGACCCTCAAAATAAAGTGTGACCAATAAAACAAACGTTTTGCCAAATTCTTGTGTACATGAAAATGATGTGTGGAACAAAAAAGGCCAAAGAGTCTGTTTACTTTAAAAAATACCTTATTTAATTGGAGTAAATAGTGAAATTTAAGGCCTTGGCTGTTACTGAGCACTTTACGCAAAAGCACATCAACAAGAAATCGAGACGTTTGGCCTTCTGTAATGTGGACGGATGTTAAAGCATCTCTAACGGATCCACATAAACACACACACATGAGTGACAGTAGCACCTCTGTCTGTGCTACACCTGGAATTCTGGTGGTCTTGGCAGAGTGTGTCGTTCATTCACAGTCATCCTCTGCCGTAACAGTACGGTAAAGCTTACAGTGTGGTGTAAATGTTCTCTGTGTGTAGAGGTGTAGCTGCCTGAGGGCGGAGCTCTGCCGGGCTCATTTGTCTCTGCGCAGCACCAGCTCCGTCAATCGAATAAGAGCGTCTCTCTCACTGGACGGACGCAGCCGGCTGATCTGACGAATGGCCTCTTGGCAGTAGTGTTGGGCGAGGTAGTTCGTCTGTTCAACACCGTCACTCTGAGCGAGACACAGAAAATACAAGCTAAGTAAGGGATAATGTACATCCAGACGGTTGTTAACAGAAATTAACACGGCTGTCTGGAATACTCGATTCTGGTCAGTCGCAATAGTCCAAGCAATGTTATTCCCAGATAACAACCGCCATCTGGTTACTGAATAATGTGCAGGTTGGTGTTTACTCCACCAGCTGTTTTTAGTTTTTGACTGCCATCTTGTAACTGAACAATATGTAGGTTAGTGATAATGTGCAGGTTAGTGTATACTAAGGGACAAATTACGTCCAGATGGTTGTTATCGCAGATTATTACTCGGCTGTTTGGAATACTCAATTCTGATTGGTCAATTACTATATTCTAAGGTATGTTATTCCCACATAATAACCACTGAAAAACATAGGCTCATACGCCATCTTATGACTGAATAATGCATAGGTTAGTGTATTTTCAAGCAGATGTTTTTATTTTTTGACTGTTTGGTGCCATCTTGTGACTGAATAATGCACAGGTTAGAGTATACCTCCATTAGATGTTTTAATTTCTGTTAGCTTTACGTTTTGGACTGTTTGGCGCTATCTTGTGACTGAATTTTGTGCAAGTTAGTGAATACTCCTATCAGTTATTTTCATTTCTGTCAGCTTTACGTTTAATTAAATAATTACTTGTCTATTTTCTAATTTAATAAATTGTCATGTTTGCAGATGTTTATAAAATAATATAGTAAAGTACAGTATTCAGTTAATA